TGGAACTGCAATTAGACAAAGTTCAGGATTGGCTGTCATTGCATCGGACCTACCATAAAAACCAAAAAAATAATTGAGTGCCTTAATTAAACTGTGTTGGTGACTGATGGACACGCAGCCCTGAGGGACACGCCCGATGTGGGTCTTCGCTAAACCAATCCTTTGGCTGAGAGCGGGAGTCGTCCTAATGCGCCCACATCAACAGCAGCAACGTGCATGAGCTCAGCTCGGAAACCCAAAATCAGATTTTATATCAGGAAACTCACCATTTAGGTTTTTTTCGGGGCGTGGGTGGGGGGGCTGGGATGGGTGTATTAACAGCAGCAAATTTCACTCGAGTGGACTTAAAAACTAATCAGACTTGCGAGTTAGCGCATTAAACTGTGAAGTTATTGCTCAGAAAAGCCTTTGTCATCACCACAAGGGATAAAATAGCTATAGACGTCAATGAACATGCTAACCTGTGTCTCCAGAACACCCATATATTCCATGGAAGACTATCCAGCTGAGAAAACAGTCACTAAACTGTGATAAGGAAATAATAAACAAACATGTAAATCCTGTGAAAAACAAAATTTAAAGGAAGTATTTACACTTACTTTGGAGAAAAATACTGAAACATGCTTGCTTTTTAACTGACGTAAATTCAGTAGAGGACAACACAATTCTTTTTTCTAACCATCTTAGGGAACAATACATTGCAATAATTGATATAAATGCCATCACTGTAATAAACTTTAGAGACTTTTTTTTATAAAAGTTGTGGGTCATCTTGTCTGCTGTAATCTTCACTCTGTCACAGAATCGCTGTCCACAGATCGTATTTGTCTCACGACCAGGAACAAACAAAACGAAGACAACGCTAACATAAGCTCATCAGTCTGCCATGTAGAATCAAGAGACTACGGGTCACTCCTGTTATCAACATTATTTATAATCCTGTTCTGTGTACAAAATTGTGGTTTTTGTACCCACCAAAAAGAATAAAATGACAGATGTTCTTACAGTATCTACAGAGCTCAAGGTTTTTTCTTATGATAAAAGCTATTTGAGAAATTATAGGACTGTAGGAGAGATGGAGAAGTCAACTGGTGGGCCACATTGGAAAATGTAGCTACTCTTTACTATTTTTTGAGACCACATTGCCCTCTTTTAACAGATCTTTCACTTGTTAAGTGGGTTCAACTGTCAAAGATGGAGGATTTGAATGGGGAATCATTGTCCTAATGGTAACATATCCTATTGTGTTAAAATTTTACTTGACTGTATTTGACTGCATAAAATATTGTGTCTCTTGGGCTTCTGTATCCCACTCATTATTCCAATTAGATTTTTTGAAGGTACTAATAATAGTTCAGGTAATGAACAAATGAAGACTTAGTCCATATTTTCAAATAGAAATTGTGAAGAAAATAATATTTATAATAATTACTTTAGGTGATATATGAGTTAAATTAGTATGGTTCAAAAATAACAGATTTGGATCATTCAAAAATAAGCAAGTACTATCATATAGATAAACATCAAGATCTTGGCAGGAAGCACAATTTAGGTTGATTTTGAGGCTGGTTTTGAAGTATGAGCTGCATTTTTACAGGTGAACAAAGTGTTAAGAGCCATCAAAGATGAGCAGTGGCCCAAACCATGCATGCCAATGGCTTATTTAGGGAATGTATGTGACACGAGGGGCTGGAGGGAGTAAAGGGTATGATATCATGGAAGATGAAGTTGGAAAAGGGAAGAGGATGACCACATTGTTTCAACTCTTAAAATTACCATCTTCTATTCAATCTCTGTGCTGCATCAATCTTTAAACATACAAATCTGACAACACACACACACACACACACACATCCCTCAGAAAAAGTTCCAAGCTCCAGTAAAACAAATTATGAATTGACTCTCTTCCATTACTTCTCTCGACTCCACCCAACCTCTCCCACCAAGTAAACTTCAGAAGCAGCACATGGGACACACCATGTATTTTGTTGTATTTCCTCCATGCATAACTCTTACCTGTCTCCTTTTTACGGGGCTAACTCATGCTCATCCTTCAGTACTCAAATTGAATTGTACCTGCCCTGGGAAGATTTCCATGACTGTCACCAACCCTTGCCTCTGAGACTGAGTTAGGTATCCTTCTAATGTTTTCTCCCATCATAGCACTTACCATACTGCATTGTAATTGCCTGTGTACTTGTCTGTATAACTACTAGACTGTAAGCTCCTTGAGGGCAGGGACTGTGTCTATCTTGTTCAGTTGTGTCCCCAGCACCCAGCACAGTGCCTGGCATATTGTAGGTGCTTAATAAATATTTGTTGAATGAATGAGTTAAGAGTGGTGCTTCAATAACAACAAAAAGAGGGAGTGACTATAGACAATGACAATGAAAAATCTTAGCTTGAAAGGAGTGTGCTGTACCATGCTGGCCACAGGGGGAGCACCAGATTCTGGTCAGTAATGAATGCAAGAGTTTAAAGCTTATGCTTTCATTGGCGCTTTCCTGGATAAAGGTAAGGCAGGAAAAGGTAAACATCTTAGGGATGGTGAGCTTAAGATCAGTGAACTCTCAGCTGGTACAGGCCATAGGTTGATTTAGTTAGGGCAAGTAGTGGATTGGTGTTTTAAAAGGTGGTCTTGTGAGGGGATACAGTCATGACTGATTGGTTTGCATTTAAAAGGCAAGCTCCTGACCAAGGCTTCCCTATGTCTAAAAATTGGCTGAACTTCTTGCCAGTAGTATTTCTTCAAAGAATTCTGATGGAGCTGGAAGGAATTATGCTCAGCAAAATCAGAAAGAAAAATAAAAATATTAAGTAGTCTCGCTTAAATAAATGTAGAGAAAACAAAGAAGGAACCAGAAAGAAGAAAAAGAACTATAGTAAAGTAAAAATCAAAATTATCAGGCAACTATAAACCAGATTTTCTGGAGGGGAGGAGAAAGGAGAAGGACCAGGACAGGGGTGGGAAGATCACAAGGGATTATGGTGATGGTGCACAGGTGAATTGGTGGGAATTTCTCCAGGAAACCATACATTGTACAAAGGTGGTGATGTAATGGATATATTTTAAAAGTTAAAAAAAGGCTTACCAGGCCCTCCCAGGTGACACAGCGGGTTAAAGCACAACACTGAGAATCTAAAGCCACTTCCACATGAGTTCAATTCCCACATGCCCTGGAGGAGATCCACATGGCATGGCAGACCTCTCCTGACATACCCACTGCTCCCCTCAGCAGTGTACTTCGTCCATCTGCCTGTTCTGTTCCCCACTCTCCTTCTGGTGAACCCCTCACCACCCCTGAGCCTCTGGCCTGTACCCCAGTTCTGTATGCACAAATAAATAAATCTTAAAAAAAAAAAAAAAGCATACCAACGACCAAAAAAAATTGGCTAAACTTGGGAGGTTGCAATCTCTCCCTAGTCAAGGTCACAAATGCTAGAGTACTAAGGATTCATAAAATAAGGAAACAGAGTTAATTCCTGCAGTAAATGGATGCCAAATAGACATAAAGCCTAATAAAATGGGAGAAATTCAGATTCATAAATCTGAAAATTCAGTGAGTAGCACGTAAGGTTTGATCCAGCAGTTCAAATGACGCCATCAATGACTCAGCTTCTTGCTCTGTATTCTGCCTTTGCTGACAGGCTCCACACAAAGGTTTCCCAACTGCACTTCTCAAGACAGCGGTGATGTTTTCTACTCCAGTGAACCAACCAGATCCATCCACCAGGGACAGGACTAAGAAACCCAATACTTTTCAAAGACCGGAAAGGTATAAACCTTGTTTTTCAGTCTCTTCCAGAAATTTAAGATAGCTCCACTCAAAAATTATCTTAGCTATACTTATAGCTCACTTCTAGAAAATCTAAAACTACACATTGCAAATCCAATGCATATCACATTGTACTTAAGTGGCATTTTATAATTCTACATATTTTTTAAAATATTTTCATTCTAGAAGGGCAACAATAAAGCCAGGGCATCATGCCCATTGTACAAAAAAGGAAAGCAAGTCATGGGGCGAGTTAAATGGGAACAGTAGTAAGTGTCAAAGCCACACACTTTAATACTATTCTAGAGCTCCTAGGCCAAAATCTTGGGACACTGTATGTGTTGTTCAGGCCTTTAGAGAATTAAATGGGAGAAGCACTGAATTATTTTCTCTAAAATTATGCATAGCATGACTGGTTTCGTGGTTGGCTTGGGAATAACGGATGTAAAGCACATAGTATACAGTGTCCAACACAACACTCAGTCCCCTGCCTGGACTGACCAAGGGCAGGGATCTTTTGCACACTTGACTCAACCCTCAAATCCTTGAAATACTTTAAATGCAAATCACTTGAAATGATAGCTTTTCAGTTAGTACAGGCCAATTTTATTTCTACAGTAGAAGCATTTATTTCAGTTATAGAAAAATAACACTTTTTGAAGTCAAGGTAACTAAACAGGAATCTATTTTTCCTTATATATTCATACTCAAGTATCACATATGAATTTAAGACATTCTTAAATTAAAAGGGAACAAATGCAGAATCAAGGTAGCATCGGTCAGTAGAAGAGATGTAATTAAAGCTACATTATCAGCCCTGAAAACCAGAAAATACAAAGTGATCTTTGTGCACAACTTTCAACTTTAGGATGCATTCGAATCACCTGGATGGTGGAAAAAAGCACCGTGAGGGACTGAAGGCAAAGCAACAAGTTAAGAAAGTCCTTGGTTTCAGAGCAAATACCAAAGGGATAAAGATACATACTTCGTTCCTCAGGAGCGAACAAAGAAAAAATACACCAAGATATTTGAGACCAGCCATTTACTAACTGTGTGACTTCTCTAAGCTCTGGGATCAGGAATAATAGATACGACTCTCAAAAACTGTTCTACAGGTTAGGTCAGATAGTATGTGATAAGTGTTTCCTAATGCCTAACACACAGCTCCTATCATTATTGCATCATCATCATCATCTGACACAGAGGACATTCACCCCCCCTCCCCCAGCCCCACTCCCTACATATCTAGTATTTATTTTTAAAAATCAAAAAATCACTCACTGCGTTCATGTTCATAAGACTACTGATAACACTTTTATACTGGTGTCATTTTTTTCTAGCTTCAACCACCCACGTAAGATTCAGTAAGTGGTTGAAATGACAATTTTTGTATCTAAACTAAGACAATGAATTCAAAGAAAGAATTAAAGCTCGAAAATTTTAGGTTGCTTCAGAAGCATCAATAGCTAGATGAATGAACGGCTTTCTGAGTGGCCCATTTTAGACAATCTCAGCTACTTCCGTAATTTTCTGAATCTCAGTTTACGTATAGATGGAAAATATGGGACTAGAACAGCTAAAACCTTCATTCCTTTTATTCAATATGCTGCACAGTAACATTCAGAGGTAAAGTTTTTGGCCGTTTAGGTAACTACCCATATAAACATCTGGGTTTTTAATATTTGGACACGATAAAAAGCTACAGAGGTGCACAGGCAGGCAAAGATGGGGTTTCTCAGCCTCAGCAATACTGACATTTGGGTTGGGTACGTCTTTACTGTGGAAGGCTGTTCTGTGCATTGCTGGTGTGACCATCCTTGACCTCTTATCTACTACATGCTAGTAGCAACTCCCCGCTTCCCAGTTTGACAACTAAACATGTCTCCAGATATTGCCCAATGTCTTCTCGGTGCTCAAATCACCCCCGAAACACTGAGCTGACTTTACATAGACATAGTTGTAAAGCCTGGGTCCACAGATTATACAACACTCTATGTAACATTACTAATTTAAAGAGTGCAGCGCAATAGTGTCTGCTATACTGTTTATGCTAGGGCACATATCTTTATATAATATACTATTTTAGCATACAGTTATCCACACATAACTATCTTTTTCCTATTGAAAACACTGACATTAGACAGGAAGAAATCTGCTAATCCTGCAACCATTTTCACTATTACCTGATATAGAGAAAGCCTATGGTTTACATTTACTACATGGAGACCTAGCTAAATCACTGCAAGTGTCCTTCCTTCTGAATTCGAAGTCTCTCTTTCTCTACTTGCAACCGTTCCTTTTCAATCTGTAGCTTCTCCGACTCAAATTTCAAGAACTGCAGCCTATCCTTTTCCAGCTGCAATCGTTCTCGCTCAAGTTTTAACTTCTCTGTTTCTATGTCCTGCGGCTGAAGTATGGACTTCTCTCCTGGGCCGAGTTCGCTTTCCAAAGATGGCTTCTCTGCGCTGACAATCTGCAAACGCAGCTTCTCTCTCTCGATCTGCAGCCGCTCCTTCTCCAGCTGCAGCCGCTCATGCTCCAGGTCGAGGTGCCGCAGCCTCTCCTTCTCAATCTGCAGGCGCTCCTTTTCCACCTGCAGTCTCTCAGCCTCGATATCCAGGCGTCGCTTCTCCAACTCCAGTTTCTGTTTCTCTATGTTGACAAGCAAATGGGGCTCGTCATATGCAGACCTTGATGGTGTTGAGTTAAGAGTGAAAAACTCATCGATGTGGGGGAAATCCGGAAGTTCATTTTCCCTTCTGGAATCGGGTATGACTGATGACAGCATTTCTTCTTCCTCTTCAATCTCAAACTAAGAGACAAAAGCAATTTTCAGTATTTCTACTTCACAGTTATCAATGTGACTAAACGTTTCTTAAAAGTTTCTGGTATCCCTTGAGTACACAGTAACATTTAATTTGAATTCTGAATAATATTTACATTGAATTACCTAAAGTCATTGATGCCTATTAGGATCAGTGTGTTGGGGGAGAAAAAAGGGAAAACCAGAGGGACTTCGGTATGCACCACATTTAAGTCAGCTTGACTTGTCAATTATTCCTGAGCTCTAATAAACTCATATCAGACATGAAGACATAGGAAGGAAAAAGTGCTCACAGACTAATATTTACCTCAGGACTCTGGGGGTCTCTTTCTTCCTCTTCCACTTTGACTTCAGTTAACGATCCACCTGCATCCCTGAAATCTGCCACATTTTGCCAGTCAAAATTTGTATCATTTCGGAATCCAATCTTTTCATCTATCTCTTCTGTGAGAGAGTCATCTAAATCCGATGTGGGAAGAGGAAATCCCGAACCAACCAACTTAATGTTTGCCTTCATCCTCTTCCTCTTCATCAGCGCTCGCCAGTCGAGGTATCTCCTCTTTACCTCCGTCCCAGTCCTCTGCTCTCCTTCCCCAACAGCGTTCACACACTGCGCTATCTCCTCCCAGGCCATCCGTTTCATCACATTAATTGTTGTATTGAGCTGCTTGGAAAAAATAACTTCTTTCCTTTTTGTAATTTCTTTCAAAAGGGTTTGAGTTTCTTGAACACTGAAATTGCTTTTCCTTTTTCTTTTCAACTGCTTCATTTTTGAAGATTCAAATGCAGTTTTTATAGTAAGAGGAGGTACGAAAGGAATTTGAGGGCAGCTACAAAGCACAAAAACCAAAGACAATCCCTGTTGGCAATTTGCTTAAATCTGCTTTCGGTTCATCTAGAAGCACCAGCAGGCTGATAATTCCTAAAGAGAAAAAGTAAAGTATCAATCAACCTGCTACTTCTGCAATGTGCGATGTACTTCAACCCAGTAAGCAAGATAAACTTCTAAAAAGATTTCTAGCCTACAATTCTTGCCTCTGCCAGCACCACAGTCCAAGCTACCATTACCACTCACCCGGGCTGCTGTACAACTCCTAACTAGTAGACTGTCACTATTCACTCTTCACCCACCCTCTGCTTCTCCAGCTCCTTCTCTTACTACAGCAGCTCAGCCTCTCAATTCTGACTATATAGATCTTCTTTCACTCATCTGTTCTTGTCAAGCTCTTTCCTTGCTCAGGTTTTTACACACAGTTCCCACTGCATAGGCAATGGATTGCTCCCTCCTTGGCCTTTTGAATTCCATTCTCACTGAATGTGAAATATCAGCATATAAATAATTTGCTAACTACACAGTCAGTTAATTGGCATGAGTTACATATAGATCCCTTTATGTCACATCTCTTTCCCTTTTCATTAGCAGCTATATAAATGTGTTGCTAAGTTTTGAGACATTAGACTTTCAAATGAAGCAGGTTTTTATATGAAAGGTTTAGATAAAATTACATTTATATATATGCAGAAAACTCATCAAAGTTTCAACTAGGTTAAGTTTTACTATCATTTTCTCTCTCAATACTTTAATATCTGCCAATTTCAAAATTTTACTAGCAGGAAAAATATTTCTCTTGAAGTCCATAATACAAATATCACTAAAGATATAGCAATTAAGTAAGGGTACATTTAATTAGAAAATGCCTAAATATTTTTGTTTTACAACTTAAGACAATACAAATTTCCTATTTCTAAACTTCAGTATCTTTTTTGTTTCTGGTCAGTCATGTGGAATAACCATCTCCTGAATGGCCACTGGCTCCTGACAAGGAATCTGAGGGAACTAAAAATACAAAGAGCAAAACATAAATGCTCAAAAAATCATCAGCAATTTGGTGGCATGCACAAGGTAAAGATGCAAAAGCAAAAACAGAAGATTGTGCATGAACTATTTCTAAAGCTGAATTCCAAGATTTCTCAAGATAACTAATAAAAAGTACTAATTAAAATAATCAGCTTGAGTAATAATTTAATAATTGATCTTACCCTAGCCAGATACTGCTTGATCAGCCACATCTCTTGTCACTAGATATACGACATTTTTTTTTTTTTTTAAATTAAAATGCAGATGCTGATTCAGTAGGCCTGGTAGGGTTAGTGATTCGACATTCCTGACCAGCTCCCAAATGATGCTAATGCTACTGGTCCTTGGATTACACTTTGGCAGCAAAAGTCTATCCTGAGCAGCAATGTCCAACATAAACATATATATTGTTTACATATATTAGTAAAAACTTCTAGAAGAAGGGCCTCTTTGGTGGCCTAGGAGTTAAGTCTCAGCACTATCACGCCCATGGCCTGAGTTTCATCCCTGACCAGGGAGGTGACTCACATTGATGCAGCAGACCTCTCCTGTCTTACCAGCTGCTCCTCTTAAAGTGTATTTCAGTAAATCTGGTTGTTCTGCTCCCCAGTCTATCTCTGGTGAATCCTTTCACCCCCTCCCTGTACTTCTGGCATACACCCCAGTTCTACACAGACACACAAATATATAGTATCCACGGTAAAGCAAAAATGAAGCAGCAAAACAAAGATGAAATTAACTTTGACATTTTAACGAACCCATATATTCAATGAATTACCATTCCAAAATGTAATTAATATATAAAAATAAATAATCAAATTTCCATTCTTGCTTTTTCCACAAAGTCTTTGAATGCAGCATTATGTGGTTAGAGCACATCTCATTGTGGTTAAAGCATACTAGAACAATTCAAGAACTCAATAGCACACATTTGTACAGGTCTACAGCACATTAAAATGACCTCAGAGATTTTTAAAAGTGCCTCATCAATTAATATAATCTTTGGAACATGGTTATACATTGAGAGTTTATAAAGAGCACTTGAGCAGAACTCAGTGTTCACACCACTGGCTACTAAAAGTACTAATTAAAATAATCAGTACTTTTGATCTTGCCCTCAGCAAGATTAGCCATGTCTCTTGTATACACAAAGTTAACTGAGTGAGGTGATGGATGTGTCAATTATCTGGATCTTAGTAATCATTCCACAACAGATATCCCGTTGTACACATTCTGATTGTCATGACAGAATGCCTTAGGAATCATCCAAGTATTCCACCAGCCCGTCCTCCCATGACCGCTGATCTTTTGCCTCGGCAGTAAGTTTCAACCTGAAGACTTGGCTTAGATGTCTAGTTGTCCAACCCTTCCAACTCTTATGTTTGTGTTATAAGCATTCACTGTCAGAAATATTATAATCATTTATTTTGCAATAGAGCCAATAAGGGATCAATGATCAACTACTACTCCTACTATTAAGTAAGTTTTAATCTACCTAAACATATCACTTAGTGGATCCACTAAGTGAATATTCTTTATTGGTTGATAATGTAAATATATGTGAAGTACATTAAGTTCCAATAAAACACTGTACAAGTTCAGAAAGGAGGAAAAATATATGGAGGGATCATGGAAGGTTGAGAGTAAGAATTAGCATTTGATTTGGACCTTATAAAACAAACAGAAATAAAAGGAAAAAAGAGGAATAAAAGTTGGAAAACCATCTGAGATCAAATGTCCCTGAGTCTTTAGTGGAGACTCTGAAGACACTGAAGTGCACATATTATTGAAATTCTAGCATCTTAATTTTTATATCAAGGCAATTTTACTGAAATGTATAAATTGTAAAAAATATATCAAAAATATATCACAAAATAATAAAACTATCATTGCAAGAGTCAAGAGAATCCTAATTTAGGCAAATATTGATCAGCAGATTTTGAGCTCATAGAACCTGAGGTCATTTTAGCAACTGGATTAAATTTATTGCTACATGACAGAAATAACCCATCCTTTTAAAATGAGCCCTTAGTGTATTTTTAAAATTTTGGCAGCAGTCATTCTTTGCATAGCCTGTCTTCCCCCATCTGTTACTATACTGGTTGTCTTCCCGTCTACAGAAATACAGTAGTTGCAACCTCTAAACTTCAGACCTCTCATTTTCAAGCACAGGCAACAACCATTTTCCTGATCCCATCACAGGAAGTAGTGATTACTCTTCATTAGCTGAAAATAGATGTGAGTGTGGTTCACTTACGCAAAACTATGTGAAGAACAAGTCCCACCACTGGCATACTGTAACTGGACAATTTTCCTGCAAGGGCTAACACTTGAAAATGACATTCCTACACGGCAGAATTAGGAGAACTGAGTAAAATCAAGCAGTAAATTCTGCTCCATATTTATTACAGACATAATTTATTACACCGTTATAAATTTATAATACATTAATATATGTAAATTCACTAGGCAGTCCAAGAAAAGCATGAGAAATCCACAAACTTCTCATCCCCACCCCAATTCTCTGTAAAGTGTAAGTGGTCCGCCACCGTATTCTCAGAGAAGATCCACTTCTCTACCGAAGAAGATGCTATTTCCTAAAACTTGCGGTAGTTTAGTAACTAAGTTTATGAAAGTACCTCGCTTCAGACCGCCTCCTTCGGCACGACTGAGCAACAGCCCCTCCCCGGGAGGATCAAAGGTTCCCGGGATCCTGGGGTGAGGGGCGTGCACCTGACGCGGGCAAGGCGCGCTGGCTGCACCAGCTAGGACTTGGACAACCTGGAGGACAATCCTCTCTCCGGGTGGATATCACAGCCCCGAACTGTTGCCCAGAAACTGCCCCAGCCTGGCTGGGGAGGCTTGGCCCCGCTCCTCCTCCCCCGTCAGGTGGCAGCCGCCAAGGGTACCTCTGCCTAAAGTCCTGGTCCGTCTACGCCGCGAAGCCAGGGCCAAAGCCAGCTGTGGAGCGCCACCACCTGCCGCTGGTCCCGCCAGGACCCTCCCAGCTGCGGAAACAACCCCCGTCCGCCAAGCAGCCTCCTCCCTGTTGGCCTCGATCGGGACAGAACGGCTCACCTGCGACCCCGGCTGCACCTCTGCACGGTCGCCTCGCTGGGGGGTAGGAAAAATGATACTTCACTGGGTCCCCGCCCACCAGCTTCGCCCGCCCTCTCCAGCTACCCATTGGCTAAAAGGACTGCCGCTCGTCCAGTGAGGCTTTACCATTGGTCCAAAGGGTGTTGCCATTCTCTCTGAGGGCACGCCCCAGGTCTGGCCTCACAATGGGAATCGAATCCCAAACCGGTTCCGGGTTAGTGCCCTGGAATCCCGCCCCCATGTGATTCGTGGCCTCCAAGCTGGGCTCTCTGTCTTTGGCGTGCGTCTCTGTCAATCATACAAGTCCTAGGAATGGATTGGCCTCTGGCGATCATCCTGCTGCGCTGCTCCGCCTGATTGGGACGCTGGTCGCGCCATCTCCAAACTCTATTCCTGTCCTTGACCCTCACCTGTTAAAATAGGCTTGGGTGGAGGTTGGGGCCGGGCGTTGCCCCAGCGGGTTCCTTACATACTAGCAGTCCCCTCCACCAACTGATGCATAATTTGTTCGCAGCCATTCCTCTGAGACTGCCTAAGCTAAAAGTCTCCACTGACTTTTTTTTTTACTACGTGTCTCTTCTCAGTCCTTGTCTCCTCAGAAGACGTTCGACTTTTTCAGTTTTTTTCTGTAAGATGTGCCTCTCTTCAGTCCTTCCACTTTTTCTGACACTTCAAATTCACGTTTTAATCCATCTGTTCTCCTATTGCCTCTGTTTAACTTCATTCCCCTGAATTTTTTCAGCAGCCTCCTAAGTGACTCCCAGTATTGCGCTTGCCCCACTTTCGTCCATTCTTCACTGTAATCAAAGTGGAGAGCTTAAGGTTCTTTGCTGGAATCTCATCTGATAAAGCACTAACTCCTACAGGTTTCTCCTCTTCCTTGAGGCTTCAAGTCATCAGCCTTCCCCCTTTTCCTTCTTCCTTGCCCCATTTATTTTGTTTCTCTCATTTCATAGATTAGAGGAGTGGCTTTCGTACTTAGTTTACATTGTATTGTTTCCACCTGTAAAGCTTTCTCCCTGCCTTTCTCCAACTAGGGTTCATTTGAGGAGAAATTTCCTGAAGGAAACATTCCTTTCCATTCACCCTACCTCTATGTAGGGTGAAGTAAGTTGTTCCTATAATGTAGATTTAAAGGAAAGACATGCTTTGCTAAACTTGAAATTCAGTTAAATAACTGTTACTAAAATAAATAGATAATGCAATGTTGGCATCATCTGTTTTCCCTGCTGAATCTGCCACCCCTACTCCTGCATGATTTAATCACGCTCTCCTCTGACTGTTCTCATCGCGTGTCCCACGCAGGTGGTTCAGATTATTCACAATTGTAATTTCATTACCTACCACAGTGTAGACAATAATACTTAAAGTTTTAGTAAAGAAAATCATGGAATATTTTGGACGAATGGTCACCCTTTATGAGCTATTCCTATAGAAACTCTAATTCATAAAATAAGAATTAACTACGTCCTATTTGGCCATAATCGATTTAATATCATGGAGTTTTTACTTAGGTCTTTGTAGAAGAAGTTTGCTTATATACTTTTGCCTAAATAGAACAACAACAACAACAACAAACCTTTGTTATTTTGGAAACAAAATTCAAAACTTGCATTTTATCACGTTGGATTTTATTTATAATGGATTTTTTGTGCGGGGTGAGTGTGATAAAAAGGTAAGAACTGCACTAAAACCAGAAATTCTCTATTCCTTTTCAGAATTTGGTTACCATTTAAATCTGCTTGTTTTATTAACAAGGGTAAGGCCTGGAACAAGTCAGTAAATATCAAGTCAGTAAGTATCTTTTGCTTTATATATCATGAACTCTAAGCTTCTTCCAGTCACCATCAGTTTCCTTGCTGATTGCAAGACTTTCCCCGGCTATTGCCTCTCTGAGTAGATATGAACCAACGAGAGAGAGTCATCTAGGTTCCCTAACAGTAGTACCTCATCACCAATCTAATTGTCTGTTTATTAGTTTTGTTTTTTTGTTATATGAATTTCAGGGTAGAGATCGACCTGAAAGAACTTGATAGACCTATGCTAGAACTACTAGTGAGGTGAAACCATGAACTGTCATTGCTACTACTAAATAACTGAGGAGTATTGTATTTAATTTTAATGAATTTTAATTTAAGAGCTCATACTTTGTATGACTTGTTTGTTCAGAAATATTGAAGTATGTAACTGCTTTTTCAACTGTAAATTTTTTGAAATCTACATGCATTTTAAGTATTTCTGATAAAACTTAGTATCAAAACTGATATTGCTGCAAGTATAAAATATGCACAGGTTTTCAAAGACTAAGTATAAAAATGTAAGATGTCTCATTGATTTTTATATTTATTATAATTAAAGTTATAATATTTCAAGTAATTGGCGTGAGGAAAAATACCAATTTTAATTATGGGTTTGTTGTTGTTCTTTACTTTTTAAAGGAAAGTTTAATTGGAGGTTAAGCTGACACATGTGATTTGCATTATACTTCTTATAGACAATGCTATTCTCAACTTAATTAACACTAAAATCTCAGAGTAAGGAATAGTTAACTAAAATGTTTGTTTCATTGCTTCTTACTTAAAAAAAGGGAAAAAGAGAAAAAAATTACTTTTCATTTTTCTCACCCAAATGCAATTTAGTTAAGAAAATAATAATACAAAGAACAGTTTATAACCTATGTTATGTATGACCAGTTACACTTTCTATGTCATGTGTTTTGCCTGTGCACATGCCTGCCTTTCTGCATTGCGTTGCTTCCTCATCTTGTCTTTATGATTCACTCTTTATTCTCCTTCTGAAAACCTTAAAAGAAGTCAACTATTCCTTACTCAGATGACATTTGCACTTATATATATTCTAATTCAACATCACACTGTATTGGTATTACATTGTTCCTTCTTGTCTTCCTCCTAGTACATTTTCTGGAACTTAGGCTGGCATAAATAGATTTGAAGTGAGCTGCACATTAGACAAGACTACAGCACTCTGTTTTATTTTCTGTGGGGTTACACCAAATTGCTTGCAATTTTTGTCACCAAGTAAATTATAATACTTTGTAAAATGACATTTGAAGCTTTCAACAGCAAATTTCATATATCTAAAAAATTTACATTGAGTGGTGAGCCAATATGGTTCTATGGAAATTGTTACAATTACTTTATATGTTGTTTGACTTTTCTTTTTATGTTGTTTCCCTTGTGTCTGGGAAATGTTAGCATATAAACTACCTAAAATTGAGTCATTATAACGAAAGATAGGGATGGTAGATTTTGTTTAAAAAATCAGTCTAATATCAATCCTTGAGAAATCAAAAAGCTCCTGGTATTCCAACCAGTATCATCCTGTGGTTAAGTTGCCAATTTTGTGGGACCTTTGATTTCTACTACTAGAGAAGTGTATGAAATAGTATGGGCCAGTATTATCAGCAGTATCAATAACAAACTTTTTAAAAATGATTTTATTCTTCCGATACATGGATTTGGAGGAAAGAAATATATTCTTGTTATTTTGAATATGTGCCCTGGTGATTTTGCTTGGAGTGCATTTTATAAAGTAACACTTGGTTTATTTCTGCAGTTTGGCAGTCAAAGAGACCTCTTGTTGAATAGCAATTTTAACAGTTTTTTAGGCTGACCCAATTCAAGATGCACCCTGATTATTCCCTGAAAGCTGATCCAGTTATTTTTGCATGGTAGATCAAGATACTGACAGATGCATAATTTCATTTTTGTAGTGAAGATTATATTGTTCTCTTAGCTCAAGAAATTACTATGATTTCTAACCACTTGATCGCATTGATGCATGTGCATTCTTGAGTTACTTTTATAAGAATTTTGTAAATTTTGGACTTGGAAGTTTTAAGTCACTGCTCAATTACTTTTCTTTCACTCACTTAAAAAATAAGTATTAAATACCTTTTTGTGCTGACCCGAGGACTTCATATAGAGTAATCTTGTTCACTGTTGCAATAATCACTTTTTATACATGGAAACTGAGGAAGAGCTATGTCAAATGTCCTTCCAAGACCCTGCACTGTTAGTAGGAGGCAGAGCTGGAATTGAAATCCAGATAGTTTGCGCTCTTAAACATTACACTATACCACCATGAAGAATAGATTGAATTCTACCTATAGTGGGGTGGCCAAAATATTTGAAAAGACTTTAGTTAGATAGTACAGGGACAATAAATCCCCCCTCTAAAAAACTTAGTCTTTTCCCTACCATTTATTGACATGCATGATAAATAACTTATAATATAGAGAGGGAACAGAGCTCTTGGAAACCCAGCACCTACCATAGACATTGTATTTATTGTTTATTACCAAACAAATGTACATTTTGTGTTGTAAAATGAAAAGTGGTCATAGAATCTCTTTGAGCCGTAGTTTCAGTCAATGAATCTTTCATGAAAATATCTATCCTACATTGTCCATTGTTTTGACTTCACTTCTTCACCAGTTTTCAAAAACTGTAAAGGAGTAAGAGATAGCTTCTAAATATTACAGCTTGTATTGTCTATAGCCAAAGTTTGATCTTGATTTGTTCTGTTTTTTTTTTTCTATTAAGATAATTTGTCTCAAATAATAAGGGCTACAACCAGTATATAATAATTATAATACAAATGTAAATGGGATCCCGCCTTAACCTAGAAAATTTGTCTTTGCTTACTCATTTACATTTTTTAAGATAGGGACTGTGATTTGTGTCAAGAACTGGCAAGGTTTTCTGGGCTTGTCCAGTTTTAGAAGCAAGAGAAAAAGCTAAGTAGACACAGAAAAAAATGATGAAATCATTTTACATGATATAGAAGTAGCACCTCAAATTTTACCTACACCCCATTCCCAAACATAAACATAGTGTTCTACCAT